TTCTTTCGGGGGCGGTTCCGCCACCCCACCCCCTCCGCCTAAACGGAAGAGGAAAGCTCGAGATGCTTGGCCCCGATGGCGTGGAGATTGTATTCTTCGCGTTCCGAGTATTGCTTCTGAACGCCCATCGCGCACGTCGCATGTGCGACGAAAACGCAAAACATCGCCGAAACGCTCCCCCCGCTGTTCGCAATCCGGGCGGCAGGTATGACGACAAAGCGGTTGGCGGGGAACGTGGCCTCGAGGGCGGCGTGGAGGTAGGCCTTCTTGCCCTCCACGTTTGTATTGTTTTTAACCTTGAAGGAAAGGCTCACGCGATGCAGTCGCGGTGGCAGCCCGCCTTCGGTAGAGATTTCGGGCGGGAAGTGCGCCCAGATGAGCCGTTCAAGCGCCAGGCGCATCTCTGGCAAGGTGGGGCAGCAGGTCAGCTCACAAGGCATGAGGCGAAAGCAGTGACGCAGCAAAGGGCGCGGGTTCTCCTCCACATCTTTAAAAATGCGCCCCACCACCGTTTGCACAAGCGGGTTTAGGTGGATCGAGTGTGGTGGCGTGCTTCCCTCCTCTGCGGGTGGCGGCGCCTCGGTGTTATTGTTGTCGTCGTCGTTGTTGTTGCCGCTGCCCGGTGTGCCGNGGCGTGCTTCCCTCCTCTGCGGGTGGCGGCGCCTCGGTGTTATTGTTGTCGTCGTCGTTGTTGTTGCCGCTGCCCGGTGTGCCGTCGTGGGGTGCGGGCGTCTCGGTCGCCTCTCGTTCCCCGCTGCTGGGCTCCGCCGCGCCGGTGGCAGTCGCTTTTTCTTCAGCGGTTGCTTCCATCTGCGGGGGAAACGGGATGCTGACCATCATGTGGCCCTTGCAGCCGGTTTCGAGCGGCGCCAACCACCGGCGACAGTTCGCTTTGGCGCGCCTGGTGTCTGCGGCGTTGTCGTCGTCGTCTGGCCGCTGGCGCTTCCGCGCGGGTATCGGCGCCCCGCCTTCACCATCTTCATCGCCACCGCTCGCGCTCGGCGAGTCGTCATCTTCTTCCCTGGCGGTTGTTTTGGTTTCCTTGTGCTGGCTGGGGCGGGCGGGCACGTAGGCTGCGAGCTCCGCCGCTAGAAGACTGGATGTCGAGGGGGCGGCCGCCTTCTCCGCTTCTCCATCGCCCGCGGGTGTCGGTTGATTGTCTTCGTTGCCCTGCGGCAGCCCACCCTTCGCCTTTTCCTCCTCCTCCGCCTCCGCCTCCGCCTTTTCGAGGTCAGCGATGAGGGGGTGCAGGTAGAGCTGCAGCTCGCGCAGTGCCCTGCTTTCCTGGCGGGGGTTCACGGTGAACAGAAGACCTGACACGCGCCCGTGTGGCACGAGCATGCGGCCGACGCGGTGTTTGTGGTGCCTCTGTTTGCCCACACCCTGCCGGTATGTCTTGTTTGCCGGCATGATTTTCCTTTTCGTTGTCTTACTTTCACTTTTTTATTTTATTTTATTTTTTGCTTTCCTCCCTCAAGTGGTTTGGCGCGCAAGTGCGTGTCCGGCTTCTACTCCTGCAGCAGATCAACAATAAGAGAGAAACCGCGCGCGCGCGCGCGAGAGAGAGAGAGTGTGTGTGTGGGTGTGGGCGGGAAGCGGAAGCACGAATCTAAATAAAGTGAAAAATAAAATAAAATGAAGCGGAAAAGAGTTCTACCATAGATGAAATGCCAAGATGTATCGCCGTGTAGGTCAAGAAGCCGCAAAAACGCCTTTTTAAACAGAAAACGACCCTCTACCATTTACACACACACACAGACGCATACGTATATAGATCTATATCTATAGATTTGCAGCTCTACACGTGGCCGTGGTTTCCTTTCTTCTCAAGACACCGGTGCCTCGATTTTCGATGCAGTGCCAGCAGCAAGGGCGGTGCCACGCATGCGCTGCACCTCTAATCCAATCTCCGCCAAATCTCGAAGTTTCTGGTACCATTTCTTACACATCAATGCCGCATTGTACACGCATACGAAAATAAATACAATGACATAAAGAACCAGTGGCCATGCTGAGAGCTCAACATGAAAGCTGTAGTACAAGACCGGATAGGCCAGTGTAAAAAAGACAACGTGGAGAAGCCATTGGGTCACTTGAAACATAACCATGGTCGGGAGGTATGCCGTGCCGAACATCGTCACAAACCGATACAGAGGCCCCTGTTTGCCAAGCGGTGGGTGCTCCATCAACCATGTATAGGCTGTCACACGCTGTGTGGGGTTGCCGCTGCTACCCTCGGAAAGAACAATGATCGGCCGCAGCAGCTCCGCCTCTTCCGCGGTTGCGCCTGTTAAGCGGCAGAACTCCTCCTGTTGACGTGCGATTGTCTTCATCTTTTTGCGATGCGACTTCTCGCGGTGCCGGCGACGACTTTCACTAAAGGTATGATAAAATATTTGCCATGCAATGAACATGGCGAAGTGAAGTTTAAGAAGCGTCCAATACGACACGGCGTGGCGGAGATCGTTGCACAACGTCCCTTCACCGCAGACCTCAGCCAGCTGGTACTGCGGGCTGCTACTATTGTCGGGTTGTGAGGCATCAACAGACGCGAGTTCCTGCCTGGCACTGGTGAAGAGGCGGTGTAGCAGTAGCACCTGTGTCACCGCGGGGGCGAGGTGCAGGTAACAGGACGACATGCGGTCAAATGAGTGGAGCAGAAGCGCATTCTTCCACATCAGAATAGCCCCCAGAATGGGACCGAAGCTACCCGCCACGAGTGTGAAGAAGGAAAGAAAGTTAAGCAGCAATTCATCCGCGCTGGACACCTCTGCTGCCGCGTAACCAATGGTGATGATATCTATCGATATCGGTTTGTAAATACCGCCCACCAGCATCACTTGGCGCGCCGTCAATGGAACCAGCTGCTTCCCCCACGACGCCCACGTCTGATTCACTAGCGGCGTTGTCTTCATAGCAATCGTCCTTATGGATCCATTGCCGCTGATCCCGCTGTTGTTATTGCCATGGATGCTGCTTCTGATACTACGATCGCTCAACCACTCCTGCGGGAGCCACGTTTCCCACGATACCAGTGGCTCATCCGACCACTGCACATCCACAAGGCGCCAGAGCAGGAAAACTACCAAACACGCATTGTGGAAGTAGCAGTAGTCTAGTAGAAAGTAGTGCAGGCCTTGCATACGGTAGAGGTAATACTTATGCATCATAAATAACACGAGAGCGATGATATAAACCCAAATAACGAGGTCCGCCATGTGACACACGATGCCACCTTCCCTCTTTAGGGAGGTGAAGATCGATCGTGGGCTTGCGGACCCATGCGCCGCTGTCACACTGCGGCCACAACTGTTGTTGATGCTGTCGCTTCTGCCTTCCGCTGCCAACTCCGTTGGTGTGCCACGGTTGTACCTGTACGGGCAGGTGGATACATCAAGGTAGGACGCGCCCACGAGCCCCGAGAAGACAATGGCGAAACAGAAGCTGATGAAGTACTCGTGCTTTGAGAAGCGGTGCTCCATCGTCCGCCTACACGTGCCACACACACACACACACACACTCTCTCTCTCTCTCCCTTTGGGTGCTCCTTGGGCTTTTTATTTGTCTTCTTTCACCCCTTTCCCTTTTTGACAAGTCGTGTTGTGTGCGGCGCGTGATGGGGTCGCCCACCGCACACANCTTGACGGACACGTGCGCGGGTTTGCGTTCACCGCGTGCAGAAGAGCGAAGGGAGAGGACAGGAACAGCATCCACAACAAAGGACAAAAAAAAGGGGAGGGGGGGTTGCGCACACGGCACCCGCAGTGAGGCAGCAGTCACAACATACACCCCCACCCGGTGCTGCCGCCACTACCGCCGGCCGGGCGGCTCGTCTCCCCCACACCGCCGTTCCATTCGCTCCGCCCCTCCGTGGCGCGGCGGGGCACATGATACAACAAAACAGGCGCCATGCGCACACACGGACGCACACAGACAATTGCTGGACTGAGCCGATTTTCTTTTTTTCTTTCCTCCTCCTCTCTCCCTCTTCCTTCTGTTTTTCCCCCTCCCTCCTCCTCTTCATTAAACCCTTTTGCTTTCACCTCTTGTTGTCGTTGGGTGTGCTTGCGTTGCGGGAGCCCGCCCCCCCTTTACCTCGGCGCACAACCGGGCTGTGCCGTCTCTCTCTCTCTCTCTCTCTCTNCCCTCCCCCGCTCTATAAGTCCGCGCCGCCCACACGCAAGTGTGTCTGTGCCGGTGCTCAGCCGGCCTACACAGCTTCGTGCTCTATTGCCGCACGTCCCTCCCCCACCGTATTACGCACAGAGAAGAAAGAAATCACATACACTCACACAAACAACAACAACACACTCAGTCGCACACGCTTGCAATACGCCACACCACGACGCCAAGCAGCACGGCGAACCCCGCGCCGAACGCCAAGCGCTCCACCTGCGCTGCCTCGGCGACAAGGATGAGAAACGCGACGAGCTCAACCGACGCCGTGTGCTTCGCGTTGGCCGGCATGAAGACCGCCGTGAGGAGCGTCAGACCCGCCACGAGCAGCAGAAGCGTCTCCGCCCGCCCGCACGCGGTGGCGAGAACGCCGTACCAGCCAGTGCTGTGTATCACGGCTCTCTCGCTGCTGCGCCGCTGCAGCAGCACCCACAACGTCGCGCCCTCATTAGCTAAGGTAAACAGCGGCAAGACGAACATCCCCAGCAGCAGCACCGTCAGCGTGGCAAGTGACGCCCAAATCCGCTGCGCACATCGTACGCGCACGCGTTGCAGAAGTGAGTCGCGGTGCTCGCCGTACCAGAGCGCAAATTCAGGCGAGCGAAAGAGCGCCACGAGCGCATCATTCGTCACAGAGGCAGCGGGGGCCGCCCACTTCACAACGGATGCGCCGGAGGCAACACCTTCATTGGCTTCCGCATGTTGCGCATGCTCCGCACTCGATGCCTTCTTGCTCGCGCCTGCCTTTCCTTGCCTGCGCTGCTGCGGGGCCGCTGCGCTGTTGCTCTGCGCCCTACACCGCTCCATCATTGTGGCGAACACCCCCAGTGAGAACCGCGACGACGACGAGGAGGAGAAGTGCTGCAGCAGTGGCTTCACGATGAACGCCCAGACTGGGGCAACAATGACGGCCGAGCCAAGGGCACACTTGGCGGCTGTGATGTTCCACAGGAGCACCACGAGATAGTCGACAAATATCGGATTCATTCTCGCAGACGTCACTCGCTCTTATTCCCTCCCTTGTTTCTTTTTCTTTGTGTGTGTGTATCCTCCTTTGCTTCCTATTTGTTTACACCCTTAAGAGGCCTTCCCCTCTACACCACAAAGAGGATGGAAAGGAAATAAAGAACACGCAAAATACTTTTCGTGTAGGATCCGCTCCCTTGCCATATTCCCGGCGCCTCGCTGCGAGAGGGGAATGACCCAGAGAACTGCTGCTGCACAGATAACTCTGATGAGGCGGAGGAGGAGGCACAGTGCGCACCGCTCACACACATCTTTCTTATATATATATATATATATATATATATATATAAGGAGAGAGAGGTATGAGGGCATGTGTCTTCACACTGCCTGTCCAGACTCGTTTCTATTGCACCGCTTAGCTCTCAACCTGCCACGCGCAGCACTGCTGCTACATCCATTAAGCCCAACATTGTATCACTCTCTCCCGCCGCCCACCCCGCAACATCACAACATCCACCCGCCACTGCCGTTGCTGCTCTTCTTACCCCCTTACTCCTCAGCAGCAGCAGCAGCAGCAGCAGCAGCACTGTGTTCTTACAGTTGTTGCCGTGGTACTGCGGGAAATGAACGCCTCGCAACTATTTGCCACCACGCTTTTCATCTCCCTCGATTTTTCTTCGGTTTTTTTTCTTTTGCGTTTTGCCTGCCTTTTTGAATTGCCTTTGCTGCTTGCTCCTATTTTTGCCTTGATTTATCATTAATGATGGTCCCATTCACGACACGACACGACACGACACGGAATCATAACCGCCTGCCACTCACTCCCCCCCCAGCTCTCTGAAGCAAGGACGTCTTAACTCCGTTCTCCGTCTGCCCCCCACTGTTGCTTTCAATCCCACCCAAACGTATATATATATATATATGTTTCCCACACCAGCTATATCAATTACAATCAACGAAGAAGCCCTTGGGCCCACCAGCACCAGCGTGCCTGGTGCCCCCCCCACGCCCTGCTTCCCTCGTTCACACGCGCAGGCGCGCAGCAAGACACGGGGTGAACACAATCACGTCACCATAAACAACCTCAGCACCAGCAACAACAACAACAACAATGGGGCGACCATCAAACGCAAATATAAACGACAATAAAACCAGCCAAACATCAGAACAAGGAATAATAATAATAAAAAAAAAGATAAAAACATGAGCACACACCAACTGCGCAAAGGGCGCGCGCGTGTAATTGAATGCTTATATAAAAGGAAGCCTATCACAAACACAGCCCCCATACAGGCATGCGCTAGTAATATATATATATATATATAATCTCTGGGTGGGCGTGTGCGGTGGGGGAGACGTGAAGCAAACTTACAAACATCCCCTACCCCACGACACAGTCATACGCGCAGGAAGAAAGAAGCCTACACGAAGAAAAAGCAACTGCCAACACTCAGCCTATTAATAATACATGAATCATCGTGCCCATACACGTACACACAGACACGGAAGTAAAGCAAGAAAACAAACAAACAAAGCCCTGCGAACACAAGGTACGAAACACACATAGAGACAACAGAAGCAATCGGTGACCGAAAAAAAAAAAGGCATCATTCCACATCTATTTATCACACTGAAATTAAAATTTCGTTTTCCACCCGTTTGTTTTATTGCCTGTGTCGTCCGGCCATACGAACCACAAGACTCTCTTTGGATTCGTGACAAACGGCCATCTGGCCCGTAGGAAGACTACATAAATGACATCCCACAAACCCTCCACACACTCACCTTTCTCTTTTTTTTTTTCCTCTCTCTAGCATGTATGGAGGCACCAATCTCCCCTCTGTTTACCCCTTTCCCCATTGAACATTCTTGAGTGATTCATTTACCCACTCCCAAGCATACCAATGTTTCGGTAAGCCTCGTTCTCTGTCCCCCTCTCACACAGACGTCCTCTGTTCGCTTGTCTGCGGCCGTATTCTTAGACAGACACAACACGTGCTTTTGCCTACGCTTCCATCATGTCTTCATCTACAGTGTGTACAAGGTCGCTGCTGTAGCCCATACGCATCAGGTCGTTCTTCACCGCACGCTGCATCGCCGGCGGGCCACAGATAGCGATTAGCAGGTCGTTTGAGGGCTGTTGCAGCGTCTTCTGCAACGTGATGCGGTCAATGAATCCCACACCACCCGTCCAGCCCTCCGGTGGGTTGTTGAGCACAAACTCACAAGCGAACTTGTCGGGGTTCTCCTTGGCGTACTCCCGCAGCGTGTCGCGATAGGTCAACTCCTCAGGATCGTCCGCGGCGTACACCAGACGAATGGACTCCGTCGTGTCAACGTACGGCCGCTCCAGTGCGGCGCGAATAATCTGCAACATGGGTGCAATACCAGATCCACCTGCAATCAAGCCAAGTCGCCGAATCACGCGACGACGAAACATCAGCTGCTTCTTCCCCGGCACACGCTGAATCACAAGACCACCACATGCCTTAATCTTGACAGAATCACCGGGGCGCATGGCAGATATCCACTCCCTCAGCGTGCCCTTGTCACCTCGGGCAAGGAGGGAAATAGTGCCGCACTCACCCGGCAGGGTGATGGGGCTGTAATAGCCAATGAGTTGCTGCCCGTCCCACTCACCGCGGATGGCAACAAACTCACCGAGGCTGAGGCCAGAGCGTTGCAGTGCACCAGGAAGGTTGAATCGCAGCACACGGGAGCCGGTGCCAAACTGTTCTCCGCTGCGTGACTCACGAACCACGACGGATGTCCACTTTTTCGTTGAAAGTGCGGCCTCACGCTTCTGCAGGATTGTTGCAGCACGATCACCGGCAATCTTTCCAAACACCACACACTCCAGAAGTGAGTTGCCACCGAGACGGTTACCACCATGCACTCCGCCTGTAACCTCACCTGCGCCGAAGAGGCCACGGATCGGCCGCTGGTTCTCGAGGATGTTCACGGAGTAGTGCTCATGCAGCACCTCCGCCGCAGGCGAGATGAGGCAGCCACCCATCGTGTAGTGAATCGATGGCGTCACAAAGGCAACATAGAAGGGGCCCTGCGGACCCAACACACACGGGAACACAATCTTGCTTGTTTGCTGGCACCGCATCTTCGCAAGACTTACCTCCTCGTAACTCTCGAGAGTGGTGCGCAGCGTCAGCTCATCGCAGCCAATCAGTGCTGCAAGCTCGTGCAAGTTCTCCGCACGCTTGAACAGACCCAGTTTCTGCCCATAAAAGTCCAGGAAATTGACACCAAACAGCTTCGCCGCCGCCTCGTTGAGGACACAATACGCAAACATGCTGCCGTTCGACCCCGGATACTCGTTGCCTTGATCAATGATCGCCTTGGAGACAACAGAGCGGAGGTCCAGCTCATTCACGAACCTCTCACCCCGCTTGTTGAGCAGAACACCACCTGAGCCACGCAGCGCCTCCGGACCGAGGTACTTTGTGGGGTTCCCCGGGTCCTTCGGGTCAATGAGGCCCGTCGGATGCAGCTGCACCTTGTCCATATCCACAAGCGTTGCGCCGATGCGGCGGGCAAGCTTCACACCATCCCCGGTGGCAAACACACCATTGGTCGTTGGCATTCCAAACAGATCTGGGGCATACTCACGGAGGAGTGACTGCGATGCTCGGTCATTTGAGAAGCCGCCAGTGGCAAGGATGACGGCGTCAGCAGTCAGTCGCATCGTCTCTCCGTCACCGCCGCCCGTCTTGACGTACGTCACACCCGTCACACGTACTTCGCGTGCACCGTCGGGCGTGCCCGTGGTCTCATGCATGAGCGACGACACGGACACATTTGTCATGATCGTCACACGATCGCTGAGATGGGTGCGAATGTGCTGCTCGAGCGTGCGCATGATGGTGAAACCAATAGGCACTGGTGAGCCGTCCGCCTTATCCGGGGCGCGGTGGGTGCGCTTTTGGCTGTGGCCGCCAAGCTGCGACAGCACCGTCAGCGGCACACCAAGGGAGATGAGCCAGCGAATGGCATCACCACTTTTCAC